TTTAGGGTTTATGGGTTAAGGGTTTAGGGTGGGTTTAGGTTTAATAGTTAAGGGTTACAGGTGTTTAGGGTGCATAAATCGGGATACAGGGCCTATGAATCCTAAATTAAACACCCCCAACCCTAAATCCTAAAGACCCTAATCTAGGGTGCCTCGTTTGGCAACAGCGCTTAGTGGAAATTTTCAACGACCCCAAACTCCGCTCCAAGGTGCGCCCAAACCTCGACGCATGGCCACCCGAAACCCTAAACCCCAACACCCAAAACCCGATTCCCCGAACCCCTGAAACCTAAACCCTAAGCCGTAATCAACCCTAAACCTTATAAGCCCTAAACCCTAAACCCTAAGCCCGAATTAACCCTAATCCCTAAAACCCTAAAGTGCGTGCGGAGGACCCGCAAATCTTGAGGCTCACTGCTGGCGACCTCCTGCTTCACATGAGCGAACAGAAGCCTGGTGATAGGGTCTGGGGGAGTTAATTAAAGGTTAATTGGGGTTTGGGGTTCAGGGTGGCGTTCGACGGTGTGGCCGTCGATGTACGAATTCTGTATTGCCCAAGTACCTCAAGAATGTGGAATTGTTGGTACATTCCTTGTTGTGGGTAGGCAGGGTTTTGCCCAGCAGAAATGGCATTCAGGGTTTAAGAAGCAGCGTGTGGCCGGCTTGGGTAGCTCCAAGGTCGGAGAAGATGGGTTTGGGAGATACAAAACTTAGTCTGCGCTGCATTTTACTACTGGTTTCAACCATATGGAAAGCCACTCCATGGTTTTCCCCAAACCGTAAACCCAGACAGAACCGCCCCAATTTCCCAAAATATGATCTCAAAATGCGACGACAAGGTCATGGATCGATGCGATAAACCAGCATCTTCACCCCAACCACACTACAGACTTCACCAAGTCCACTGTCAACCTCGTGATGCTGCAAAGAATCCTAAACCCTAAACCCTTAAACAAAAACCTACCCCTGAACCTCCAAGAGCTTGGGAGCTTAGGGAACAAGTCGTATGCCGCGAGACAGGGTGGCGCAAAGTCCCTTTTGTGGCAGCACTGGCAATTCTCTACCTTTAGAACCCAGAACCCACTTTTTTGTAGGCTCCTTTTATATATGGGATTTATAGGGACCCTACAAAAAAAGTAGGTTTTGGGTTCTTAAGGTAGACTAGGAGCCCGAGCCGGCTCGCCCATCCCCACGTGGAAACCAGGACTTGCAGGCTTGCAGGCTTCGGTTACCTGCGTATTCCTTGTCATAAGTAGTATTAAATTATAAGTATACTATACTACACGCTAATGAATATACCCCTAAAAAGTAAGTAGTCTCTAATTATCAAGGCCTTTATATTGCTTATACCCGGCTCCATGGTTACATGGGCAATAGGCGGAGTCGGAAAAGCACATGGTCCAGCTTTAAGTCGGCTCTTCGCCTTTATGTTTACTCGTAACCTGGGGAACCCCACCCCAATGCGACACCCCGAAACAACAACAACATCCACACTCCTAGATATCACAACCAAAGCTTAAACCCTAAACCCCGCAAGCCTAAACCTTAAAGCCCGAAGCCCCTCATGCCCTTTAAAAGAGCCTCGCGCACACGAGGATGGAGCGCTGTCGCGCAGTGCCTGCAGCTTTGGAAACAGCCGGACCACGTTTGACCGCCTCTAGTCTTGCATGAGAGTACAGGGTTCAGGGTTTAGGGTTAGGGTTTAGGGTTTAGGGTTTAGGGACACAATCCAAAGCTATTTGCCCACAGACCGCTCCCGAGGAGCAGACACAATGTGGAATCAATGATTCCGAGATGGGGGTTTAGTTTGTTTTGGTTTTGTGCGCTGAAGGTGCTTACAAAAGGACTTCCCCCCAAAAAAAAGCAAAACCCTGTTCCGCAGGTTTACAGCGGCCACGACACGACGCTGATGCCTCTGCTCAAGGTGGGCGTGTGGTGCTTGCTTGAAGCTTACAGGGCCCATCAAAACGAGAACTCTAAGGGATCTCTAAGGGTTCTAGAAGGGTTTAGGGCCAGTTTAGGGATGTTTGGAAGAGGATTTAGGGTTTAGGGTTTAGGGGTTTAGGGTATAGAAGCCTGAACCACCAATTAGTGGTTATTCCTGAGGCTTCCTGCGCATAGGTATACAACAGTATTTCCTAAAACCCGAGTCCTATTAGACAGCGCTTTGCACCTGCTCTGAGCCTACTACGACTTCTCTTTTCTTCTGGTGGTGGTGGTAGTGGCGTCGCATCTACAAGGGCGACGGTCACTTCAACAAGATATATCCATTACTACTGCCCCCATATTATTGGCAGTGTTGAACGTTGTTGGCTGTGTTGGGTAATGTAGGGGCCTTAATAACTTCCTATACTATTTTGGGGGCTCCGTATTATAGTTATAGTATCTTATACCCCCGTAACCCTATTCTAATGATTAAGGCCCTAAACCCTAAACCCTAAACCCTAGAGTCCTAAACCCTAAACCCTAAACCCAAACCCCTAAACCCTAAAGTCCTAAACCCTAAACCCTAAAGTCCTAAACCCTAACCCCTAAACCCTAAAGTCCTAAACCCTAAACCCTACATTAAGGCGGTTCAGGCCTACAGCTCCTGGAGCTCGACATCCCCGGGCTTGGGACATCCTGGGGTTTAGGGCTTTAGGGTTTTAGGGTTGTCTTTCAAGGGTTACTGTGAGGGATTTATAAGGGTGCTATAAGGGTTTAGGGTTTCAGGGTTTAGGGCTGTCGGGTTTTCGGGTTCAGGGTTTTAGGGTGTAGGGGTTTAGGGTGTTAGGGTTCAGGGTTTTAGGGTTTAAGGGTTCAGGGTTTAGGGTTGAGGGTGTTAAACTCTGCTTCCTCGGAACCCCTATAGGTTTAGGCTTAGCCTGGCTTCAGGTTTGGGGTATAAAGCGTCGATCTGCTCACACCCTGTGAAGCCTGCCCTAAGGGTCCAAAGGACCCAGTAATCATGTACGTGGTTACGGATATTCAGAAGAGTATATGGGTAGTTCTCTAAATTAGGGTCCCTTTTGGATCCCCAATATAGTACAGCACCCTTATAAAGAAGGACCTTAGAAGGGACCCTATTTTTGAGCACTACCCATATGATTATTAGGTACTTGGACCTTTAGGGCTGGAGCGTTTTGCATAGACCCTAAACCCTAAACCCTAAACCCTAAACCCTAAACCAGGCCACTAGGCTGCGAAGGAAAAGCAGTCCGTAGCCGTATCCCGTGGAAGTCGCCACTATCTCACAGGAAACCCAGAACCCGTCGATTTCCTAGGGCACCCTCTGTTCGAAACCCTAAACCCCACAAGACCCCACAAAAGGCCATAACCTACCCTAAACCCTAAACCCGAAGCCCTCATACATGCCCCTAAACCCTAAACCCTAAGCCCTAAACCTTAAACCCTAAACCCTAAACCCAAAGCCCTAAACCCTAAGCCCTAAACCCTAAGCCCTAAACCCTAAGCCCTAAACCCTGCAACGGAAGTTGGGGAGCTCGGAGGCCTTGGGCATTTGGGACGGTGCATGGCCGGGCTATGCTGCCGAGGCCGTGGTAGCGCCGTGAGGTTTAGGGGTTTCGGGTTTAGGGTTTTGGGTTTCGGGTTTAGGGTTTGGATTCTCCAGCCTTCCGGTGGTTTGCTTCAGGTGCGTTGTCGACGCAAGAAGAACAACCCACAGGGACAAAGTGCACATATAGCATGTACTGTCACTCTAAAGCTACGATCAACGAGCACCATTGCAAAATACAGCTTACACGAACCCGAAGCCGTGCTGCCCCAAACACGAACCCTCAAATACCGAGACACAGGCCAGAATACTGAGCAGTAGGGTCCCTTGAAGGTTCCTTGATGTATCTGTAGTATCAAGACACCCCACAGCAAATTCCGGCTTGGGGCACTGCGGGCACGGGAGCTGTAGCATTGATAACCGAGGGCAAGTTGGCGCCGGCTGACCAAGGGGTTTTGAGGGTGCTTCGTTGAGGGTTGTAATCAGTAGTTAGGATGGGAGATCACAGGTTACCTGTAGTCTCCATTGTAGTTCCTTTTTTGGTTTAACCAATTATTTATATATATATATATATATATCAAGGATTTTATAAGGCATCCCCCAAAAAAATACAATGGAACCTATAGGTAAGCTTGGTTTTCCGAGTTGTGACTCTGACACAAGAGAAACTGAACCTTCCATCTCGAACCCCGGCCTCAGGCTCTCACCCTAAGGGTCCATGTACCCAAATAGTATATACATAAGCCTTGAAGTAGTCCCTCTATAGGTACTTTGGGGCCAAAGTATAGACTATTTAAGTACATGGACCCTTAGGGTCAGCCAATCGCTGATCAAATGCTTAGTGCCTTCGCCAGCCCTCCCGAAGAAGCCTACGGGTCTAACCTTACCGGTACCTCAACCGTAAATTCTCTCCCTTACTTTCTAAACCCCATAGTAAACCTAAACCCCTAAACCCGCAACCCTAAACCCTAAACCCTAAACCCTAAACCCTAAACCCTAAACCCTAAATCTAAATCCTTCAAACCCTAAACTAAACCCTCAGACCTTGACCTTAAGCCCTGCGCAGCTGCCCACAAGGTTCGGCTGGAGCTTTGGCAGCTGCCCGAGGCGGAGTTTGGTATCGACATACTAGAGGGGCCTTAAGAATTACCTATACTATTTTGCGGGGTTCCTTGGGGTTTAGGGTTTAGGGGTTTAGGGTTTAAGAGTTACCTATACTAGTTTGGCCCCATTAAGTTATTTTGAGTATAGTACATATACAACCAAAACCGTATTCTAATTATTAAGGCCCCTACACTACACTGCAACTTAGTTGACTAGATCAGGATGCCGGGCTGCTAGAATGGGTTTTGGGATTTAGGAATTTCCACAAGTTGATATAGCTTTGGTTCGGAAAACAATACTCAATAGCCTCCCACCTATACAGGCGTCCGAGCTTCAGTCAAGGGTTATCTTGAATCTAGTGTTTTTCGCGAACTGACAAGGCAGCATGGTCTTCACCATACCTTTGAAGTGTGCTCGAATTATTCACATGCCCTGTGAGCTGCACAAGCGCACTGTAGTAACCGGACGTTCGGGAATCAACATTGCTTTCGAGAGCACGCTGGTTCTCCTTATGGGCTATACGTGATTCCCATGCCAGCTTGACCTTATGCAAGTTCTGTTGCCAGAATTGCATTTGTGTTCGCTCGTGCTAACGTGCGTCATTTTTCAAGCTGAAAATCGTGGCCAACGGACACTCCAACGGACTATGCTCTGTTCTGCAGCTTCCCCTAGCATGTTTAGCATGTACGCCACCAAGACAGTCCAAGACCCCTTGTAGTACGGTCCCTGGCTGACTGGCATGACTGGCACTCAGATGGATGAAACCCGCAGAACCCAAAACCCTGAACCCTGTCCGCCCAGAGAACCCAATACTCCTAAATTCATAAGGAATATACTTTAAATTATAAGATTAAGGCCCCTATAATTTAAGGTACATGTCCTTAATTAGGGGGTAGTGCGTTCCTCCGGGCGGATCGGTGGCAGGGCTCCCGGCACGAATTCGCCGTCCGTGCTGTCATCGGGAGCCGGGTGTTGCCTCTACTCCCTGGGAAAAGCGAGGCCAGCCTGGTGTAGGGTTTAGGGTTTAGAGTTTAGGGTTTAGGGTTTAGGGTTTAGGGTGTAGGGTTTAGGGTTTAGGGTTTAGGGTTGGGTTTACCCATAGGCCCTAAAGTAGTTAATTTTTTAGGGTTCATACATAGAATCCTATAAGGTAACCCCAAAAGGAACTACTATGGGGCTTAGGGGTAGTCTTTTCGACTTGAAGGTGCAGTTCAGGGTCATTTGTAGGTCGGGAATACAGTAGGATCAGTAGAAGCCCAAAAGTTGGAAACCCAGTAGCCCCAGTCCTCAAGAGTACTGCAAAGGGAATCCCAGCACTTATTGTCGTTTATCCGGTTTCAACCTTTTTTTGGGAGTTTACTATGATCGAAGAGGGCCTAGGTAGGGCGTCGGCTAATCCAGGGAGGACAGGTTTTGTTGTCTCTGAGTTTTGGGTTCATGCAGGGTTCAGATATATGGAGGCTTGAGTGGCTGTACGTTAGCAGCTCAACCTTCCAAGCTCTGACAAGTTATTTAATTTACGGTCGAAGAGGAACCAGGGTGCCCCAACCGTACCCGAATGCTTTGATCCTTTTTTTCATGGACCCCTGAGTAGTTGGAAGCGAGAACCTGAGCTCAAGAAACCCTAAGCGGCTTCCATGGATCAAACCCTAAACCCTAAACCCTAAACCCTAAACCCTAAACCCTAAACCCTAAACCCATAGCAGGATGGTGATGGCCTGAGCCTTTGCTGCTGCTTGGCTGTTACAGCGATCTTGATCGGTTTTTTGGGGGAGTTTAGGTACGTTATAGGGGCCTTAATAATTTGGAATGGGGCTTTGGGGCCCATTCTACTATATAGTAGACGCCCAAAAGTTGGAAACCCAATAGCCTCAATCCTTAGGAGTAGTGTATAGGGAATCCCAGGTTGCTATACTCATAATAAGGAACCCCCCCCAAAAAAATAGTATTGGTGATTCTTAAGGGCCCTACGTTTCGTTATCTAGGTTCCGCAGTGGTACCCTTTTGCCCTTTGTCTTTTTGGGTTCCCTTATTAAAACCAAATGGTATGAGAAAGAGTACCCTTGTTATTTTTAAGGGGCTACGGGGGAACCTAGTTTTTGGCACTTCGGGAACCAGGGCTTCAGGTCTCCGATCCGACTGCACTGAAGACGCCAAAGGATACCAATGGAAGCTTTTTGGTTCCGGACTGCCCTTCCTTTAAGGGTCCAAAGGACCCTATATATACCGAATAATCATATACTCTCTCAAATAGTAACCTACATAACTACTATCCGAAACCTAAGTACCTGATTCTTGGGTCCTTTGGGCCCTTGGGGTTCATTTAGTCTCCATTGTCGTAGTCCCCTTTTTGGGGGTTACCTTATAGGGTCCGAAATATACAAACATGGGTTAAGCCAGATGAGAGGAACTACAACGGAGACGGCAGGTTGCTCCCAATAAGCCCTGATGATCTTCGCTGGTCTGCCACCAAGCTCAAAATCATTTACTCAACTACAGTGGAGGGTGTCTTAAAACCCATCTAGTTGCTGTGTAAGTATGTATGTAACCTGTAACAGTGACAGAGGTTATGTAATCTTAAGGTACTCAAAAGGTAATTCCTCCGCCGTGCATATCGGCCTCGGTATATCCCGGCCCGATAGGATCTCTCACAAAGCACGTATACTCTTACCGTCTAGGGACTGTGGGTTTAGGGTTTGGGAGCTGTTGCTCGGTTTTCAACCCTAAGCCCTAAACAGTAAAATAAGATGCCATCTAAGGTTCGCTTGCTGCCTTCCACCTCTGCGCGAACGAGGTTGCCAGTGGTGTTGGCACTGTGCATCCGGTACTCAAGCTTTCCTAAGACTCCAATGCAGTATATGTGCATTTCTGATCAGAATCAGTGGCCTGGTAGATTACGTGATATTTTGACAAGGAGCTGTATGAAATCGGAACATTATATGGTCAGGCTCATATTTTGCCTATTCATGAGTTTACACCCAATCCCGAAACCCCCATCTGCAGCCGTGAGCTTTGGCAGTGGGTGAAAAGACCGCCTGTGACGTCCTTGAGTTGCAAGCCGCAGGTCCCAATCTGAGTGAGGACTGTTCCAAAGCCCTTATGATGTAGGGTTTGGATTACTCGGACGATTGCTTCCCAGGGTACCCTGGTGCGTATGTAGTAGGTAGGTAGGT